GTACGTACGTACGTACGTACGTACGTACGTACGTACGTACGTACGTAGTACGTAGTACGTAGTACGTAGTACGTAGTACGTAGTAGTAGTAGTAGTAGAGAGAGAGAGAGAGAGAGAGAGAGAGAGAGAGAGAGAGAGGAATCAATAAATGGACCAGTAATTCTTCCTATGGGGCAAGTTCTCAGCTGGGATGTACGTTTATGCATATTTGGCGTGTTTTCCTGATGGTGGTTTTAACAGCCACAGTTGAGAGAGGGTTTTTGTCTCGTATAGGAAATGTATATAATAAGACCATTTATTTTTGGTACAATATCACATTCATTATTGACCGATGAGAAATTGGGTGGTGGGAGATGTTTCTTTGACCGATGAGAAATTGGGTGGTGGGAGATGTTTCTTTGACGGCCCAAATTTCAAAATAAAATGCGTCCAATGTGGTGACACTTTAATTCATTGAATTTGAAATCCAATGGTCAAGAATTATGACCTTTATGTATCAAAAGTGGATGGTCTCGTAGAATACAATCGCCTCCTTATTTTCAGCAAAAGTAAGGTACATGACAATTGAATTTTTTTGGTAATGCCTACACTAATTTGTTAGGTTTAACGACCTGTCAGCAAACCAGATAGAAACCAGATGGAAGTACTTGTTTTTGCATTTTCTCATCCCAGTCAACTCAAGCAAGGCAACCACAAAGCTTGTGCATGCAAGTTCTATAAGAACATGAAAGAAAATGGAGCTTTACCTACACCTATTGAACAAGTTAGAGCCTGGAATGGAATGCATGTGTTGTTGTTGCGTAGCCTGATAAATTTTAAACTTGGTTTTCCTCCTTTTTTCCATGGTGTGGTTCTATTATTTGTGAAAGGGATTATCGGCAAAGATATTGTCTTTTTGTATATGGAAGTTGCAATTATTTTCATTGTCAAATTGGATCGTTCGAGATGAGCTACAAAATCCGAGCATTTTTTTTGGAATCTATTTAATGTGACAACTACCCATTTTGAAATTTATGGGACAATGATCAAAAAGTCTTGTGAAATTTTTCTTTGTACATTACAGGGTGCAAATTGTAAGCTAGGTTTCCCCAACTGTAATATGTGGAATGGATTTTTTCTATACAAATGTATTACACTAAAGTCAGAAAATTTTTTCTGGCCTATGGTTGCAATGTACATTCGTTATGACCCAATCAAAAAAGGGCGCTGAAAATTTTAGAAAGAGAAATTTGTGGAATAGATCAGGAGGCCCTAGGTTCTTAAGAGGGTATGTTATTATTGTCAATGACTCGATGCAGGAGGGTTACGAAGGTAACAAAGTGAGAATATTTTTTCCCTCTCAGCGAAATCTAGGAACTAGAATCCGGATGGTTGGCACAAAAGAATGGTATGATTATGGCCTTACAATTTAAAATAATTGATAGCTTTGAGGTGATTGGTAGAAATAAGTAGAGAAATATTAGCCCAACGGTTTAGATTGAATTCGGACCGATCAAATAGTCATGATTGTATTTTGTATTTTAATTTTAATAAATTTTTTTACATGTTTAAATCATTTGAAATTTTGAGAGTTTATTCTTTAAAATAGAAGAATTTAATAAAAATATCAAAAAAATAATTCACAAAAAAAAAAAAATCAAAATACAATTGAAATTTTTCATGGGTATTGTGGTTAATATATATTTTACGAATTATTTTTTATTTTTTTTTATTAGGTGTGCTCTGATGAGAAGAATGAGCATTTAAAATTTTGTGTGTTTTGGATTCGTATATTAATTATTAAAATTATATTACAAAATGAGGTCGCGACTATCATATCAGGTTACCATTGTAATTATTAGCTAGTGGGTTTACTTCAGCTTTATCTATATATATATATATATATATATCACGTACCAACAATATGCCAATAATATGTAGTGCTTTGCACATGATATTTAATATTAATCATTGAAATAATTTTAATAAAGCATGGTATATTAGAGAGAATTTAATCTATTTATCTTCACAATTGAATATTTTATTAATTAATAATGGGGAGAGAGTGAAGAGAGAAAATAATATGGGTGGAGGAGAGATTTATTAAGAAAGAGAAAAAATGAGATACGTGGTACAAAAATAAGAGAGAGAAGATAAAATCTTGTAGGTAAAACGATATTTATTAAGGATGAGGAAAAATAAAACATATGTTACAAAAATAGATAGGGTATTCCTCTCGTTTAATATATAATAATATATAAATAATGGAAGCATCTACAAAACGTCTATAGGTGAAGTACTACAGTACTTCACTTACACTTCATCACCGTCCAAAGTTTATCACACGGTCAAAATTGTTTGGTAGTATTTGAATTTTTATAATTATTGTATTAATCATATTTATCTAAAATTTGGGGCGTGTGTATATATGATTAAGTCGTACCAAAATAAAATATTTAAAAATAATAGTCATAAAATAAAATGAATTTACCCCTGAAATGTTATAGGGTTATTTTTCATAATTTGTATTACTCAAATTATTTGTTTTATATTTTATTCATGTGCATCTCACTAAGGCACACACACCTACGTAATTTGAGATCATTATGATTTGTTAAAAAAAATATTAAAATTCAAATACTATCAGACATCTATGACCGTGTGATAAACTGTGAACGATGATAAGGCCGTAGGTGAAGTGCTGTAGAACTTCACTTATAGGCGTTTTATAGTGTTTTTCATATATAT